GTGGTGTCAGATCTTCTCTTGTTTCATTAAACCAGCCTGTCTTAATTCCGCGAAAGTAATTCTGTTCCTGTTCTTTTCTCTCCAGTTACTGGAAAACCAAGCAGTTGTCTCCGAAGCGCCTGAGCACTGGGATCCTGATGTACACGCTGGCATCGTCCATGTGCGATCAAATTCATCTGTACGGATTCTGGCCCTTCGGCTGGGATCCCAACACTGGGAAGGAGCTACCGTACCACTACTACGACAAGAAGGGCACCAAGTTCACCACCAAGTGGCAGGAGTCCCATCAGCTGCCGGCTGAGTTCAAACTCCTCTACAAGATGCACACAGAGGGACTGCTGAAGCTCAGTCTCTCTCACTGCGCTTAGGGCTACAACTAAAGCGCTAATTCAACCGCTAACCAGCACATCCAACAGCTACGCTACAGGAAATGATTAAATTACCGGACCTGAGAAAATCTAAATCAGGAGTTTAAGTCAAGGGTTCAGCTCTATGGATGAATCCAATCTTGCAACAATTCATTAAAGTAAATATTTGTTTTCAAATGTTTAACACGAAGAAGAAGAAATCTCCTTTTTTATATTTTCCATTTTTTGTGCTTTATAAAATCTAAAACTTATTTTAAGGTTTGCAGGAACATTTGTGGACTAAATTGCCACCAATGCTAATAACAGTTAATTGTCTTTTGTCTTTGGAGTGACCATTATTTTCTAGATTCTATTAAACACTTTAAAAATGTTCATTTAAGGCCCCGTTCTTCTATATAAACCTAAGATATGATAGATGGCTAAAGTGTGCTAGTTTGTGCTAGTTATGCTAGTTTCTTTCTTCCGTTTTTCTCAAAATTCATCTTCTTCTTCCAAAGCCAAAGTTATTTCATTATTTAGGTTGTCTTTAATAATCCAGTTATGTTCAATTATTTACTGTTGGCTGCTGATTTCTAATATCCTGAAGGTCGTTTCTAAAGCTAACAGCGGTTAGCTGCTATTCCTGAGGCTGTAGCTGCTCTAAAATCCTAAAGTAACTTTCATGCTGATATTTTATATTTCAAATAGTTATTAAAATAGTATTAAAACGTTAGCTGGTGGTTAGCTGCATAGACATTATATATGTAGATGCATCATTGTTGTCAGAGAGGCCGACGTGCCTCGTGAGCGGCCATCTTGGATCAGACCACAGGTCAGACAGCTGCTGTCAGAATGAACAGGAGGCGCCTTAGATCTCATTTTAATCACATGAAAGACGAGTCGGAGAAAATATTACAATAATCTCTGACATGTCGGAACCCCTTAAAAGACCAAAACAAATTTTAAAAGTACCTTTCAGTTAGATTACACAGATTTATTCAGATAGAAATCTATTTAAACTGAACTCCAACTGGATGAGATACATGCAGAGTTATATATTTTGCAATTAAATATTAATCTAATAAAACACAAAATATATATTATTATTATTATAATTATTATTCAGTATTTTTAAAGGATAATGAGTATTATGATCTATAGCCTAATTTAAAACATTGTTTTATTATTAATTTAATGTAAATTTTGAATCTATTTTTTGTCATATATATATATATATATATATATATATA